TTCTTGTCTACCTTTTAATTGACAGGTGTCGAGGTGAGTCCATATGGCACACACGCGCGGATACACATAATGCAACAAAAGGCACACACCGGTGCACACACTGGAAAGGGAAGGACGTGCTCTGGGTTCACAACAGATGATTCACACTGCGTATGCGTGTGTGTGTGTGTGTGTGTGTGTGTGTGTGCGGTGGAGGAGAGGTCTCGTTAGCACTACAAGTGTATGGCTAAATTAGTCTCCTCTATCCCCCCATCACCTGCTCTCAGACACTGCAGCTGTCACCCAGCTATCTGGCTCTGGATTTATTTATGAGAGGTTTAAAATTGCATTCCATACAGTATATCCATGTGGCTATGCTCCGAAGCAGTGGGATACCCTTTTACCTGGAAAATACATTCAGTTGTGATCATGAGGTATGGTCTAAAATATATATATGTGTGTGTGTGTGTGTGTGTGTGTGTGTGTGTGTGTGTGTGTGTGTGTGTGTGTGTGTGTGTATGTGTGAACTAAAAATGCCAATAAGATCATATTGCTCGGTTGTTTCCTTGGCCATTTATTCAATAAGTGTGACATAAAAAAACACACTTTTACATTGGATTTACTGTATTTGTTCAACAAGCCTTCACCTTCACTGTCACTTCCCGGCTGTCAAAATGCCTGGGTGAAGCTCCTCCTGGAAATAAATATTCTCATAGCAGAACATTTTATCACATGATGGCAAATCCCATTAAGGATTAAATCTTTTAATCTATGCTGGCCTGGAAAACGCTCCGTTCCAATGCTACAAATGCGAGAATGTCATCAAACGTCATCATTATCATTTCATCAAAATATATTTATTTCTTCTGCTGTTTGACCGACGGCTGTCACTCTCTGCTCCGCTCTTTTCATGTCTACTTTCCATCACCTCATTCTATAAATCGGGATGGCCATTCACGTTTGCCTCCTCTCATGACTTGGGGGGAAAAAAAATGTCTTAAGGTCGTGGTAGTGGAGGAGCGGGGGAGGTCAAACAGAGCAGAATGAAAGTTGACAATAAATGAAATAAGTAAGAAAGGGTCAGGGGTCACCCGGGTCAGGAACCCTGTGGTTGTGTCAGTATGTTGTCACAAGCTCAGAACCTTTCATCGATGGCCAAATCATCTGTGGCTGCCACTTGATACGACCGTGGCATATGGTCACGTTTCAGGAGAATAGACATCATTTGTTTTTGTTTTTTTAATTTCGACATGGATCCGTCTTCATCTCTTCCTATTATTCTCCTTTTCCCCTCCACGCAAATTGGCATGTGACCTTCCCGCCATGGCCAAGAGACACCCTCTCCGTACTCCTCCAATAAACAAACAATTACAAGAAGAGGAAGATGTATCTGGCGGACGGCTTCACAATTGCAAAGCGTTTAATTTCCGATTTCACAGTCCTTTGGAAGAAGGGACAGGCGGGGGGGGGGACAGGCCAAACGGCAGTCTCTTTCCCAGACACACACTCACACACACACACAGCGAGACACATCCACGCTGTTCTTTTCTGCGCCTAATGTTTTTAAACAGCATGTAATTACGACTCGGAGCTTGGTGTCATGGCTCCCATTTTCAATTTAATGTATGGATGTAATGCACTGCGGCCGGCCGAAAAACATCCATCTCGATCCGGGTTTTTACATGCTGCTCATAACTGAATCGCATAGTGAATAATTCAATTTGCAGCCGTAGACAATCGCTACGTGTTGTGGAGGGTGACCGCAGTTTCAAAGCACGCTTAATGGATTGATTCAGTGATAACAGTGGGCTGTGAGTAAGTAGTTTTCCTACTTGCTTGTCTAACCGCAGCGTAGCCTGTAAAGACCAACGTGATGCCGCGTAGATCAATACCAAGCGCCAGTCGACACAGATTGAAGCCTCTCTTCATTCAAAATACTCATCGCAAATAAAAATCCTTTAATCCTCCTCTGTGACTTGCATTCAGGTTCGTTTAGAACACCTAATCCTGTCGTGAGCCTCCCACATAGGGATCAAACATTGTTGCTGAATAACAACAACAATGCGTGCGTTTTTAGTACTGAGCGGTGTCTTTTTTTTTTTTGGGATGGTGAACCCATTTGGGTTGTAAGACTGAGACAGGGGGTGTCAAGAGTTTTTTAAATTTTCATGAATCCATTGTCAATATCACAGCAAGAGCTGCACTCTACATCCAACAGACAACACAGTTGGCTAGTTCAGGGGCCCCCAACCTTTTTTGCCCCACGGACCGGTTTATGTCAGACAATATTTTCACGGACCGGCATTGAAGGTGTGACGGAAATAATACAACAAAACTATATGGTATAAGCTGCATGAAAACTGTGGCGTTTACGAAATATAATAATAAACACAAGGAACGTCTAATCTGGCCGCAACACTCCGATCGCTATGGCAATGTTTAATGCCTTCAAAATACGATACAACGCAAATTCAAAGTGCATGAAAATGACGACTCACCACAGCACCGAGCTTGATTTTCTGCAACCAGACGGCCCATCTCGGGGTAATAGGAAACAATGACACCTCAAGTGTGTGGTTTATGTCCAGTCTACTTCGTAATTTTGTTTTCGTCGCCGTTGCTGCAGAAAACCCCCTCCTCACACAGGTAGCATGTCGGATATAGCAACAGTGCTATTGTGGCCATCTCAGAGTATTCAGCCATAATTTTAATCCAGTTGTCTTGAACGTACTTTTAAGGCCGCCGTCATTTGCGATCTCCAGCAGTTTTTTTTACTCATTTTGCTCTGGCGTTTTGTTTTGAAGTAATCGGTCACGTGAAGGAGAAGCGGGGCTTGACGTGTGTCACGCGTAACACAGACGGATGTAACGGAGAATCCGGTAGTTTTTCAAAATAAAACATCTTTCGTCTTCCGAAATAAATAAAACGGAATTAAGGCAAGTTCTTTCGGTGCGGCCCGGTACCAAATACCCGGCGGACCGGTACCGGTCCGCGGACCGGCGGTTGGGGACCCCTGGGCTAGTTGACAGTCAATGCCAGGGCTCAACTCAAGGTGAGAACAACATTGCCGTGCTGGAGCAAACTTCGTTACTCTCACAAACTAGCTCTGCTTGATTTTTTTTTTTTTTTCCCGGCGCTCATGGATGTCATCAAGTGGGCCTGTGAATGACTTCAAGATGGGCATGACGACAGAACAGCGGAAGATTCCAAAAGAATCCTTTGAGGAGTACATGAAAGTATGGCGGAGAGTCTGTTGGACACCGGGGGAATTACTTTGAAGTTTGTTACAGCAGACTTGGAAATTTTCTGACAAATCTTGTATGTCCATTTCTGAATGAGCCTTATGAGCTGTGCCTGACAAGTAAATGTGTCGTGACCAAGAAAAAAAACAAAAAAATCTGGATAGTTACAGCACATTGCGTACAGTGGCAATGGTGAACTTTTTGAAGGAATCCCAAATGAGGTCTGTTCTTCGATGCAATTTATAACATTGCTGTTGTAGGACAAACTGAAATCGTAACAGATCGAAACACAATATACAGACCCTCTTTGCTCGTCAAGAATCGAGCTGGAATGAAACGTTGGTATAAAAAGCCGTTCTTGACTAATTTTACTTCAATTCCCAACTACTGAGGTTATTCTGAAGCTTGTGTTGATTATCTTTTTGTCTTTAGCCATCACCAAATGACAATGACAAAAGTAACTTCATACTCAGTAGCCCCATCCGTCCATCCATACATCCGTCCATCCATCATCCATCCATCCCCATATCAGACTTTACATTATTGAGCTGGAGCCTCCCCAGCAGAGTTTGGGACAGTACATACTGGAGCACAGGGAACCAAACCACACTCATATTTACACCCATGGGTAATTACAAGTCTTCAATTAAAACCAAAGAGGCATATTTTTAAAATGTGTGGGGAGCCTAAATATGCCAGGAACACCCTTCAAGCACGTGCAAACGCCACACAGAAAATGAGAACGATAAATGTTCAATACTCGCCTTCTGAAAAGTTTTTTTTTTTTTTTTTGGCTAGTCTCAAAACAAAATGACTCCCAGTGCTGGGTGGGTTGAGTGGTGCTTATGCGTCTCGATTTGAGACACTTGTCGGTGGATGATATTTGCTTGACTCCATGTGTGTTTTCAAAAATCCCGACACACGAGTTGCCTTCCAATTTGTCTACTTTCTCTTCTACAATTTCCTTTTTTTTTTTTTTTTTTTTTTTTTTTTTTTTGTGCCTCCCCCCGGACATACAGTGCATGTGGGCTTGCTCACCGTCATTGTTCAAAAGGTATTGTTCTCCGTGCCTTTGTGTTGGTATCATTTGCCGGCCAGATACGTCTGCCAGCGCTGATCCGTTGTCCAGCAGCGTGCCACACAAAACAAGGCGTCAATTAGGCAGCCTGTCGCAGAGTGTGGTGACGTGATCGCGTGGGGCCGGCCTCTGCCTCGGCACCTGTCCCCAACATCCTTTGATGGGCTGTAACTTAACCCCCGTTCGTCTCAGCCGCTGCTAAAAATAGCCGGATGCACACAGGTCGGCCTCGGCTAATGATCGCTTTTTTACAGGTCAAACTGAAAGAGTGAGGACAAGCGTGGACAGATTGTGAGGCGTGTTTGGAAGTGACACAAATCCCGCGAGAGTGGCTGAAAATAGCCGATCCCAAATCAGTGAAGTCCCCGCTGGATGTTGACACTCCATCGCTGTCGTTATGACGTCATTTGACAATGTTTGAGTTCATTTGCATTGGTGTGGAAGTGCCCTGCATTGTAGCTCGATAAGGAAAATAAGACAAAACGCATTTGAGTATGTTAAGGTGCACAGCCTCTTCTTGTTTACACGACAGAGCATACTTTCTCGTGCTATTGAATGAAAAAGTGAAAAGTGATTGATGAGAGTGTACATTTGACAGGCGTGTTAGTGAAATTGATTCATGCTGTGCTGCAAGATGCAATTGTTCAACATGTTTATTTTTACACACAAACACACAGTCAAATTTAAAAAAAAACGCAGAATCATTAATGAGGAATTTAATGCTGATTGACAGTGAATTGAACAAGTACATGTTTTTGTACAAATAATAGACAATTGCCTATTTTACATCAATAGTTAATCCTCCGAATAAATTACAACAGTAAAGGGGAGACAAAAAAAAAACATTTGCCGTAGTCAACACCCATTCACATATGATTCATCGATGTTGACAGGGATGAAGCGGGAGTAAATATTGTGGTGTTGCAAAGAAGAAAAAAAAAATCTGTTAATCTGCCCGCAAACTTCATGGTTGAAAAGAACCGCAGCTAATTAACAGCACACCAGTACAGGAATATATTTTAATATTGATCTCCTTCTATCCCCGGAGCATTGTCTGCAAAATGTGTGAGTGCAAGTGTGCGTGCGTGCAGGCAAGAGTATGATTATGAATATTTTAAGAGCACATTTAACATGGCGAAGCCGGAGCAGGCTCGGTGAAGGATTTGTGCCGACTCTTCAGCTAATGACCTCAGGCGCTTCCAGCAAAGCTTCTTCATATTTTAAAGAAAGTCGATAAAGCTGCGGCCCAGTCAGCAGCATGAAGATTCATACAGACGCCACGGGGACCCTGGAAAAAAAAAAAAATTAAAAACGCGCGTGTCTAACAATCCGTCCCGCGGTTTAGCGGAGTAACCGAGATCTCGGCCTCAAATGCAAAGTAGTCAGTGAACACGTAGATGAGATCAATTCTGAACACGCGTCTCTTCCCTCTCAAATCAATGTACAAACACACTTTTTGCTGCCCGCAGTTCCTTCAGGCCCCTCCGCGTGCACAAACAGATGCATCGCACCAAACTCCAAAGCAAAGGAACCCAAACATGAAATCCCTCAGCAGTACAAGATTACACTCTGTTTTGCTTCCGTCCGTCACTCCGTTTGCCAAAAGAGAACACAAATCGATGCACCTTAAAATACATTTTGCCTCTCTCCACAAAAGCAGTTTTTTTTTTGGTCCCCATTTTAAACTATTGCTGCGGTTTGTGTTTTCTTATGCAGATGTGACGAATCCTCTCAATGCAAGGTCAGCCATTGTGCAGAATCCACCCAAATGGCTCCGTCTTTCCAATTTGTCTTCACGTTGCGAGTGACACTTTCCTGTCTGCCTTTCACACAGCGCCGAGGGACCAGCCAAGGCATTCATTCACTTGAATGGAAAAACTGCAAACAATTAACAAATGCCAAAAGGTGTGGAAGAGGACAAATTATATTAAATGTATTCCGGTGTTGTGGCAGGCAATCTGTCCTTCCTTTGAGGCTTTTCGGGCATCACAAAAAGATTCATATCTACTGATTGAAAAAAAAAGGCATCACATATTTCATCAGATTTTATATGTGTGTGTGTATATATATATATATATATATATATAAAAGGTCAGAGCGAAAAGTATCACATGTGTTTTGACTGGCAGGGGGGTTGGGCAGTAGGTGAGTTGGCGTCACTCAGTGAATGACCAATCGTACAGTGGTAAGCTCAGTCCTCCCTGCGAGGCGAGACAGCATATGGCATTGTCTCCAAGAGAACCACACGGCACCTCGGCAGCAGTGGTGGGAGTGCATGTGGGCGTCTGTACCCACAGACAAAAGACGTTCAATAGAAACTGCGCAATATGAACCGGGCGTGAATATGAAATGGTCTTTGAGAAATGAACTCGTCTTTGAGAAACCGTGTGAGTATCAGGCGCGGTTTGAACAGAGCCAAATAAAGAAAAAAAATCATGTCAAATCAAAGCAAAGGGACTCACGCAAAAGCGGCGAGCTGATTGAGACTCAAGCAATGGAAGTCCCGGTCGTCTGCCCGGCAGAAGAGTTTCCATTTCCTTGCGTGGGAGTTAAAAGCGAACACGGAGAATCGATGAGGCTTTAATGGAAAGCCATCAGGAAATTCTGTAGCTTATTAGAGCCAGAAGGCCAGGAAGCCCGGCAGCATTTAGTTAGGGCGAGTTACCTTAAGACTACCGTTGAATCAACTTTATTCCGTCCATTTGACCACATCGCCGGCCTCTGTTATCCGCAGACCAAGTAAATCGGAATAACACGTTGCAGGCAAATAATCTGGATTTAGAAAGCATTCCCACTCTCTTGTTCCTGAGATTTGATCGTAAACTGAATGAAAAAGCTGCCGGCAAACATATCTGCTCCCTAAGCTGTTGGAAAGCAAAATTCTGTGCCAACCCAAACAATTCAGACCCGCAGCATATAGCCACTTCAAATCCTCTGGCAGACATCTATCTCTCTCTCTCTCTCTCTCTCTCTCTCTCCTGAGGTGCCAAGAAAGAACCCCTGTATTTTGCTCGCTGAGCTGAAGCAAAACAAAATTTTGGTTAGGGTTACGTTGCGTCACTTTATATGGTCAACTGTACTTTGATATCACTCACCGCTGGTCTCAGCCACACCACTCGGTCCAAGTCGGAAGCACCAAGTAAATCCATGCCAATGGCGCTCCTATCAGGGGGGAACTTCTCATCGATGTATCTTACTCTTTGGACTAAACAGTACTGTTTAAGCTTTTGGAAGTCTTGGCTAAAGAAACTCTTGTCAAAACTCCCATGACCAACTTGCTTGTGACGAGCCTCCATGATGTTGAGGCATACACCTGGAGGAGGCATTGTTGTTGTGCCGAATATCTGCAGTAGGACATACAGAATAAGTGTGTCATTGGCAAAATTTTGCAGGCAACACTGAAGTGACTGTTACACTAATTAAGTTGCAAAGAGACAGAAAACATCCATTACATTCAGTAGTCGTAGGGGGATACATCTATCTCTCTCTCTCTCTCTCTCTCTCTCTCTCTCTCTCTCTCTCTCTCTCTCTCTCTCTCTCTAAGCCCACAATGAGAGGCTTGTTTAAGCAGCTCATCAGCAGCCTGGTACCCCATATGTGCCTCACACCCGACGATCCCCAGTGGCTTCCAGCTCTGTGCAGTGATACCATCTCATCTGCCAACACGGACCACTTGGAAAAAGCCCAATCCTTCCTTTGGTTTCTCTCGTCTGCCCTCCCTGGCTAATGTTATGATCTGGACAGATAGCAGAGTTCATTTCTGCCATATAAACAGACAGCACAACAGAGCTGAAAAAAAAAATCATGTGTTGAATGAACTCCATTTTATTTTATCCAGTGGTTGCACAAATAAAATAATCTGGATCCAGATATATTTTTAAGTAGCTGTATGGCCTACTGTCAGAGATTTTCTCAGACAAAGTTAAAGAAATGACTTGGCACACAGGAAAATTGTCTTCAATATCGGCGGGAGGGGATCTCTGAGAGTGAACGACGGTAGTTGCTCCGATGATCACACTCTCGAGCTCCCTAACACCTACTTAAAAAAAAAAAAAAAAACTTATCTGGATCCAGATGATTTTATTGCAGGCAACCACTTGATGAACTAAAATTGAGTGAATTCAACAATTTTTTTTCAGTGTACAGTTTTTTTTTTTTTTTGTCAAAAAACGAAGGTGTGACTATTGCTGGCCATTTATGACAAATGTGGTGAGAAGCAGACAGACAGCGATGTAGGGTCGCCCAGTGTCATATCGGCAGAGTGCGTCTGCAGGTCCCGCATGGCGGCAGTCCACTTATCCCCCTGCCACCGCACATATGTTCGGGACATGGAACAGTTGGACGTGGCCTTTGGCTAAAATGGGTCAGGCAGACACAGATGGAGAAAAAAAAACAAAACTCCCACTGGGTCATTTTCAGATAACTTACACACTCGGGGAAAAAACGTGACAACATGCGTAAGAGTGTGATGGCGTGTCATTCAAAAGAGGTGCAGGATTTTTTTTTAAGGCTACTTTTGTTCTTTTCTCCTTCTGTCTGTGTACCGTAGCACATCTGATCTCAGTTACCTCCAACGAAGAGATCATTTTTTCCCATTGCTGTTTCACGGGGGGAAACGTTCACAGTAGAAGTATAAGTAGAAGTTCACGGGTTCATTTTTTCCCCCCACATTTGTTAAAATGGTCCTTTTTCGGAATAAATGAACATCCACATAAAAGTGTAAAATAAAAGCGTTCAGTGTGACTGTTCAGAACATGAAGGAGGTTTGCCCTCTGATCAGTGGCGTCCTGAAATTATGAAGACGGAACATCGGCGCAGAGGGCCAAGCTTAGACAATGTGTCGTTGAAGTATTTAGACCTTGGCCTTGAGCGTCACTTAACGCATTTCTGAAAAGATGAATGAAAAGAGAATGTATGAAATGCAGCTGGACGAGGAATCACAATTTCCGACACAAAAGGGAGGCCACAGAAAAGTTACATAACAATGGGCTGTTGATTAGCCTTCCTTTGCCTTTTCAAATGACAGTCATCGCAAATGACATGTCTCTTATGTGCACGTTTCGCAAAGATGCTGTTGGAAATTCTCCTTTGTAAACGGAGGCCGTCTTCGCACAAAGCCGCGACGCTCTTTCCTAGCAACCTGTGTGGTGGCACAGATGAAATGGATTCTCGACGAGCGTCCTTGGTATGTCAAAAGGCCCATTAAGAAAACTGGTTGGAGTTGAGGACCATCCATATGTTTCATTATTCCTTTTAACATGATCATTTGTGTCAGTTGTAATGGTACATTATTTATTATTAAATATTATTATTATTTTTTTTTTTTTTGCGCAGGAGCAGCTCGTGGTGATCCAAAAATGCTTTGGTGTGGTACCCCTCTTCATGGTTTGTTCAGTCACACAGTGCATCGGGGGCGATTCTAGGATCAGAGGTTTAAATGTGCCGAGCTCCCGGCCAGGCAAGATAAAAAAGAAAAACTTTTAGTGGGTGCTGGCATTCATTTAAAAGGTGTTTGAGCACCCGCCAAAATTTCCTCGAAACGCCCATGCAGTGCATTCATAGCAGCATCGTCCATCTTTCACTTCAAAAGAAGCATCACCTGACACGCCGCACATCTTCCATGCCTTCGGACGTATGGGTGGACGTGCTCTGCGTGACAGTCATATGAATCTCTTGGATTAAAGTCAAGTTTGCAGCTGCAGCATTAGAATAATTCATCCGGTGCTTTTTTTTTTTTTTTACCCCGGAGGAGCCACAGGTAGTTGATGAAGTGGCAGTGCCAAGACTCCCAACTGGCGAAGACGAAGCGCAGCTGCCGGGAGTCAGCACGGCCAGATGCCGTTGCTGATGTACCATGTGTTCCGAGCGGGGCAACAGTGTGTTTGCGCGCGAGCCGGGTGGGAGGGAAGAGCGGGAGACGCTTGCCAAGACATTCTCACGCTGATGCCAACCTGACACATGCTCGGGTAGTCCCCGTGGTTCACGATACCATATCAGCCTCTCTCCTGAATCTGTAGGGGGTCCTCTCTTCCTTAGATGCGGTCCTCTGCCAAGATGGAAGCTGGCACCTGCGCACCGCCATCCTGCCCGACGGCAGCTAGATTGTTTTGGGTGGTCTTCGTCGCGTGATGTGTTGGCAGCAGGCCATTGCAGCTTTACTTGGTATGATCATGTCAGTGTAACCTTTACCAGCCATTCTTACAGCATCATGTCAACTCATACATAAATATATATACACATCTAATCTCCGGTCATGCCAACACATCCTCCTGTTGTTTAAACGAGCAT